CCCATTCCTTGTACCTCGTTTCCTCCAAGGATTAGTTTTCCTTCTTTGATTCCGTCAAAGGCTACTTTTCCTAGTATCTTGAACTTCTCCAGTACATCTTCGGGCAAATCATGTTCGAGAGGAAACAAAACATTGCACAATTCTATTGTATGTTTAAAATAAAACACTTTCACTGCAATATTGTATATCAATGTTAATTTGGAAGGGAGAGTAACGTCAGCGGAACTTTCGGACTCTTGTTTTCGCTGGATTTCTAACAGACTTGTGCAGATGATAAAGCTGTTGACCGGGACATAACACAGCGAGAGCAAATTCAAGTTGCTACTGATGTGTCGCCATAGTGTTTCGCCCACTGCCTTTTCATCTCCGGCCAATTTGTAGACATATTCTTCAACTTGTTCCGATGAGAATCCTAGAACCTCGTAAATTTTGTCAAACGGAAGGTGTTTGATGCTCGACAAAGCCGTAGGTCTCGTGGTGGTCACAATTGAGGCATCCTTTAGGAGTTTCCCGGTCACAAGCCACTGATAAAGGATTTGGAGCGGCTTTTTCTCTTCATTGCTTCTGGGATAAAGAGGCGCCCCGACCACGTTTGCGTTATGTTTAAATTCGTCGAATCCGTCAAAAAGTATGAGTACACCTTTAGGGTTTTCAAGCAGGTGATTCCAGACCTCGTCATCTAGATGATCTGTTGGGAAATACTCGGACTGAATTAACAGTTCCTTGAGGCTAAGGTCGTTTTCCGATTTGAATCTTCTGAATTTCACGAGGAAAGCGGCATCAAAATGGATTTTGCCTCCAGCTGTCGCTTGAAAAACTTTATTCAATGCCCAGTCTCTGACAAGTTTGGTACAACATAATGTCTTGCCGATTCCGGCTCGACCGACGATTAACACTTTCTTATTTTCAACATTTAGGAGGCCTTCCAAGTTTTTCGATAGTGATTTTTCCCCGCGCGACCTTGGATAAATTTTGAGCTGTTCCTCTCTGTTTTCAGTAAAGTCATACGTAGCTCTGTTCGGAATCACAACAAGATTTGTGTAAATTTGATCCAAAGTCAAATGTTTAACTGTTGTGTTTTCGCCTGGATTACCTGAAAAAGGTGATTGTAGTTCTAAAAGTCCTTCGGTCTCCTCAATAATAATTTCCTTTTTGCGTTTGATGAATTCGTGAAACTTTCGTTCTTGGAGTTCTTCAGTGTCTGTTTCAGTGAGTGGAATTGTTTCGTCCCTTCCATCTAGGTGTTGGTTGAGACCGAAGTGGGTTTTAAGAAACATTGAGTCTTGCATGAAACTCCTTTCAATGCATGCCCGTGAAAAAAGGTAAACGATTTCAACCAGAATAGTAACGACAAGAATTCCATTCACACCAAGGACAGCGTACATCCAGTAGGTTTTCTTTGCCGCTCGTTGATTGTGACAATCGTATAAAGTCGAGTGTTGGGCGTTGTCAGTTGAATTCCTTGGCTGAGTGGTTCCATCGGTTAAATTACAGTCAAACTTGGAGGAAAACTTTAAAGGATAAAGTAACTGAGTTTGTAGGATGATGAAAAGAACTCCTAAAACAAGTCTAGTGAATAGTTGACAGCAGTAAGCGATAAAAAGCTTATATCCCGTCGATAATGCGTTCCCTTGGTCGCGCGGCTGTCCCTCTGAATCACCGTCACGACTGCTTGGCGACAGTCGATTGACTGTTGGTCTTACTATTAGGGAGTAGATAACACATGCAGATATAATAAGGACGAAATTCGTGATTACGAAGCCATAAACAGGAACACCGAGTTTGTTTTGTTGCTTCGCGTATTTCTCGTAACATTTTCCCTGGACGGCTTTGATGTTTTCACTTTTCGCTCCGCCACAGTTGAAATCAAACCTGGGTTCGTTGTATTCCATGTCGGCGAATATACCAAGGAAGATGAAACCAATCACGCTCCAAATAACCACTACCCCAAAGGGAATTTTGTTGAAAGTTTTCGGTTCCAAATAATCTAATAGCTTTTCCATTGACATTTTTGGTGATTCCGTTATCTTCGTTTGAGTACTGATTTTCTCCGGTTCAATTGAACTGCTAATTCGATCATAGTGTATTTAAAGAGATACAGAACTTTTGTTTGATTGGCTCTTTGAAAACTTTCAACTGTCAAAAAGGCGATGGCCTATGCAACGTTTACTTGTTTACATAAGAAACAGATATCAGACTAGTTCAGCCGGATACAGATATGTATTGTTTCAAAAGATGCGCTTGACCTCTTCACCAGGGTGTGATGCATGTCAAAGACTTCTTTTTTTGACTCGTGTTGGAGACGTGATGAAAGAAACACTTAGTGTGTAAGGTTGGATAACATAATGATGAAGAAAAAATTTCCGCGTCATGCTGAACTTTGAATTGTCAAATTCACGTTTGGGAATAAGTCCGCTAAACTAGTTTACATTGAGTATTGCTTGCTCAGATTGGTAACAATATGAAAGTTAGCCATATAAAAATATTTCCGCCGTACTATTTAGTTGTAGCTCTTCACTTCGTACTGCCAAAAGATTCCGTGGCAAGTGAGGAGCACGCGGCGCCAAATCCCTTTGGCTGGACATGTGCAGGTGATTAAGGGGTTAAGAGGGCACTGTGATTAACTGATAGATGTGGCGCCAGATTAATGCTTGGCGGGAGGATAAAAGAGCTTCAGGACAAATATAGTGAATAGCGGATGTTCTAATAACGTCATGAAATTTTAGCTTTCCCTCGTGATTTAGACAAACAACGTTCAATTGTCTCTAAATTCCCCTGTTTCGCTCTGCACACATTTAAATCAAGAAAGGGCAAGTGTCTATCCTTTTGACGCTCAAGGGTGGTTTAGTTTTCTAACACCATTGTTTATCCATCTAAACTACAAAAGATTTAAGCGAACTGCCATTCGTTTACTTTTTACTTGTCACACTCGTGAAGAATCGAACTTTGTTTGTCTAAGTCAGCAGTTCCCAAGAGAATTTAGCGACAGCTGTCTATCGTAACCCTACCCACACCGACAGAGACCTCGCTTTCGAATCTCACCACACTATTTGCCCTAAAAAGTCTTTAGCTCAAATTTCATCTAGGGGGGTTGACTGTCTACCATCTTCAATTGATTTAAAGGCTGAGGAGAGAAAATATGTTTCGGACGTCCTAAAGATAAATGGCTATACCAAAACGTTTACCCCGTAACTGCCAGAAACCAGTTACAATTATTAACACTCCTGATGAGAAGGATCCAGCGACTGATTTTGCTGTTATTCCTTAAACTCAGGGTGTTACGGAACCCATCGAGATAATTTTGAATAGCCTCAACGTTTAAGTTGCTCAACAACCTTTTCAGATCTTAGGGCATATTTTCGCTAAACCTAATGATCCTGTCGCGAAAGAACAACGAACCGACTTTATTTATTCTGTTCCGTGCAATGATTGTTATCACGAGTATCAAACGACATTATACAGGATTATTATCGAGTATACAAACCAAACGTTAGTTCGTTACACGTTTGAAAGAGCATCAAAAGGCGGTCTTCTACTGCAAAAAAGAAAATTCAGCTTTGTCGGAGCACACATGACTAACTAACGGCTATCATTAGAGAAGGAACGGGAAATGAGAAATGGGGAATCGTTAAAATGGGGAATCTTTAAAAGCGGGGAATCTTTAGAAGCGTGAATCTTCAAACGGGGAATCTTGAAACTAATGGGGAATCTTTAAAAGCGGGAATCCACAAGGTTTCTGGCGGCAGCCGGAACTTTTAGCACACTTGCCAGCAATATTTTTATCCAAGAACTAGAATTTTAAAGAAAATATTATGCTTATGATAGTCCAACTGAAGTAAAAGTCGCTATCATATCATGGTGAACATTTCATATCAGGCAATAAAGCAGCAAAGAAATGTTTTAAAAGCTTTTTGGAAACGTAGACGAGTATAAAGTTTCGAAGTTTAAAGCGTGCTACAAGGAGTATTTTTGTTTACAGTATTCAGCTTTCTACGTATTTGTTCAAGCGTGACGCATGCAAGTTTGTGTACACACCGTCACATTACCGTGTTTATGTTTCTGCATGTACATACTACCTTTAATCAAGATTTATTTTCCGCCAAATCCTGTATAATGTCGTTTGTAAAGCCTTTTCAGGCATTCAAATTAAAGTCGGTAAACGAACACCGAAAAATTGAGCCGTTCTCTTTGGGAAGGAAAGGAATTGCCGCAACAAAAAAATGTTGATCAAAATAAATCGACCAAATGTATGAGCGGTCTGTGGAAAAACAATTCTGTTTTTGGCGGATGGCAGTGGCACTCGACATTACTTTGATGATTGATCTGAATGGTAAGTCAGTCATCGGCCCTTTTAGCAATTATGGTTAAATCAGGACTGATCTACAGCGTTCTCCGTCTTGTGAAGTCGATATTAGTCCATGGTAACCAAAAACAGAATTGTTACGTCGAGCAAACTTCAATCTTGAGGCGGGATTCCCACTGTCGCGTCGTTTTCCTTGTGTTAACAGACCTGAGTTTTAAATGGTTCACTGGCGTAAAATGGCAAAAAAGAGCAACTTTTCCACAGACCGCTCATACACTTGGTCGATTTCATTCTTCGCTTTAAAAGATTATCCGTTTTAAAGATTCCCGCTTTTAAAAATTCCCCATTTTAAAGATTTCCGCTTTTGAAGATTCCCCGTTTTAAAGATTCCCACTTTTAAAGATTCCCATTCCCCGTTCGCTATTTTAAAGATAGCCACTAACCAACCACACAGTTGGGTAGGGTAAGTCTAAAATTACCACCACTGATCGACGTTACCACCAGCACCTTTGTTTGGAAGCCTGGCAGATCAACTTTGTCCACGCCCCTTTAAATCGTGATGGCGGCTTACTACCCGACGCCTATTAACACCTTGTCAGAAAAAAAGGCAGCTAATTAGTTTGCTTAGAAAAGGAGCTCTTGTTGCAGCGATTAGATCACCCCTGATGAAGGCACTAGACAGGAGTGTCGAGACGCGTCTTCTCGGTTGCTTTTATTAAATCTCTATGCCAGAGTAGCATCAAACCAAACAATTTCACGAGACTTTCAAAATGAACAACAAAGCACTTAATCTTAATGCCTATAATCAACTGAAGCAACCTTTGACGGCGTTAGCCAAAACAAAAACTTTCGTGTGGGTCCATAGCAAGGTCAGAAGACAAATTAAGCACGTCCACTTATGGAATTTAGACCAGGCTGTCACAATTCGGAAACCCATTACAACAGCTCAAACCTAATATGACTTCGGAATTCGAAATCATACAAAGAGTTGGTTCAAAACAAAAACAAACGACGGTGTTGCATCAAGGTTGGAAATGGGCCTTAACTTGAGGTACATTCTAATTATAAACGAAAGGTTAAATCATTCTGAAGTGACTAACTAAATGACTAGCTAATCATAAACTAACAAAATACTTCATAACAGAAGGATCTAGGAACAACAAGGCCGTTAACCAGTCTCTTTGATCCTCAGTCAAATAAAATTCAAAGCTTTGATCTCAATCTGCTGTCTCTCAAAAAATAAATAAATAAAAAAAAAAAAATAAGCGCCCTGTTTCGAATAAGCAACCTCCCTTGCGGTTACAAAAGTAAACGAGCGCCTCGTGCGCCAAATCGAATCCTCACGGATCATCACGGTAAATAAATTTATGGCTGAATTCTATTTCCAAGATCTTACAAAGTGGCATGATTTTAATAAGTAAGGGAAACAACATAACCAATATCAGATGTCAGAAAACTCATAGATTTACAAATTAGCAATAATGACGTCTTGACAAGGTGTTACTTGTTATCCAAGGTTTTATTTTAGATGTTTTTGTACTTTTTGTTTACAGATTAATATTTCAGTAATTACATGTATTAATAATGTATTTTCAGCTGATGCCACAAGCATAGAACTAAAGTAAATGAAGTATTGATGCACGAATAAATGCCCATCTTCAAGAGTTTACAAAAGGGCAGAATCATCACCCTCTATCCACAGAGGAAAACATGTCTCCAATTCAGTTATGGTTGTGGGTCTTTAAAGATTTTCATTCTCTGCAGAGCAAGCACAACTATTGGTATGTTGAAAGTACATGTACTGTTTCCTATCTATAATGTATGTTGGCACAGGACTAATATCAAATAATTCCCAATTGGTCCAGGTCTGTTTGTTCTGAAATAGTTCTTTTGTTCTGGCATTTCTACTGAGTTTGAAATATTTAATTTATTACATGACTTCTTATGCTGTGTGAGAGCCCTATCTCAACAAATTAATTTTTTCCCATTTGGATAACCTTTGCTCTAACATTTCATTTTTATGATAAAAATCCTACAATGAGAAAAAAGCTGTTTATTGTGGTCATGACTACAAAAGTACAGTCTAACCTGCTATTAGCAGACACCCTTAGGAAAAATCATTGCTTTCTGCTTAAAGGAGGTTGAAAAATATTGATAAAAAGGAATGGGTAAGGGTAAGGCAGTCAGGCTGCACCCAAGGGAAGTTAACTTTACTTGGTGGATTTTGTTTTCATTTACTTTTCATTTACTTACATACAAGATGACCAGCTGGACAGAGGACTAACTGATCTAATGTTTCTGTCCATCTACATGTAATTTCTATTCCACAGGTGGACAATATTCATTATGGCATTGATTGGAATCACCCCCGACCTGATTTTCAATGGGATGGAAACAGTGTACTCCTGGATGACAATGCCCGTGGAAGTTTCTGATATAGAACTACCTAGTATCATGATGGCAGAAAATGATCTATGTGTATGCCTCGAACAGAATGGCCCTGTGGCTGAGAGTCAATGTCTGGGATTTGATATCTACCTTAATCTTGTGTTACATTTGAAGGCATTAGTTAATGTATACATGTAGAAACACTTGAGTTCTATGTCAATGTGATTTTTCTGTATTACCAAAATGGTACTGATATAAGGACTAAGTACTTTTGGTTATTGTGATGCTAATTAAAAATACAAAAAAATGTATCACAAATGAAGACAAACCATCATCTTTTTCACATATTTTTCTCCACAACACAAAGGAATACTTTGGGAAAATTTGTACAATGTTTTGTAGTTGAAAAACCAAATCTAAAACATGCCATTTACTGATTCTGTCCTTAAAGTACATCTATACATGTATAACATTGATGACTGTGCATGCAAATTCAAACATTGTGGTTTTAAAAGCAACATTTTAATAGTCCTACAGAAAGGAACTGCTAATCACTGCATAACACATCACTAAATTAAGAGTACTTGTAAGTATAATACTGAAATCCCTATTGTAATTTTTAGTAAGATTACTAAGAAGACTTAACTGTTGTGAAAAACATCAACTTTCTTATTCATAATTAACTTTCCCTGACTGCACTGATAACCACAACTAAGCAAAATTGTTTGAGGCTGGTTTTCACTTACATCAGAGTCATAAGCTGAGTCAATGTCACAGAGAAAACTCCATGAAATTGGACATTTGGGTCATTGTGATTGGTTTATTCTTATGTTTCTGCTTGCAACTCTGACATTCTAGTTTTTATGAGATCGGAAGGGACAGAGTCACAAGCAGAATTAGTGTTCTGCTTCTGATTCTGTCAGTTTGATTTTCATTAGATCATGTTTCTCTATGCTTCTGATTACATACAACTCCAACTACAACTCCATCACAAGTGAAAACCAGCCTTCAGTCCCTCAGTCTGGGACTAGCAATTGTTATTTCTTTATGAAAGCTTGATAAGTTCTATGTAATGCAACAAAACAAACAAGAGATCAACTACAAATCAATACAGCCAACTTAAAGTTTTTTCAGAAAACTGCAATTCACTGGTATTTTCTTAGCTTTGAGTTACAAAGGTGCTAAATAGTAGCAAATCCTTGGCTTTCAAACTTGAAGGCAACATTCAAGCTTTGATTGAACTCATTCTAAGGGGAATGAATTGTTGGGAGCCATAATATTGCCAGGTGTACAGTTGCTTATGGCAAGGAAGCTTTCTCATCATCATCAGGAAGATATCTTAGCACAATATTGTGAAGGAGACCACAAGGTGGAATTGATTGAAAGCCAGAAATGAATTTTAGCAGACATCTGAGTTTCTCCTCACCAGCATTACATAATCCATAAAATAAATTATAGGACTGTTGTTGGGTGAACTCAGAGGGCCTTTGAACACTGGCATCAAAGAGATTCTAGAATTCATCAGGAGTGAGGGTTTGCTCAATTTTATTACAAAACAGCTTAAAGCAGATTTCTCTGTTCTTAGTGACATCTAGGAACTCCTTCTTCAGACCTTCTTAAGACCTTCAGTGAATGAGTCAATCTAAAACTTCCTGGACAAGATTATTTCACTCTCCAGTAGGTTTTGTACAAGATGTGCCTTATTCTGAACTGTTATCTTCTTGGTTATTGGCCAGTGAGAAGTATTTATCACTGACCAGAAGGACTCAGAGGAAGGATGGTTGTGAAGTTTCTTCAATAACAAAGAAGAAAAAAAAACCTATCAGAAATGTTCCATTGTCACTTTATATGCCATATGGATTGGGACAGGAATAATTCACTTACCCTTTGATTCTGTTTATGTCAAAACTCTATTAAGGGAATGACCATTATTTTTGAGAAAAGGGTGGGCAATTTTTTCTGAGCTACAAATAATTTTTTGGGGTCAAGTTGTGCAGGAATATTTTTGTGGTAACTGCCAAACCCTCCCCTCAAAAAATAGTAGTCCATCTGTTAGCCCTGTCTCTAACAAGCTCCTTGTTTGGAAGTATGATTTTTTGAATAAACCCCCTCTCTATGAACCTGTTTCTTCCCTATACAAAGTGTACAAAATTAAGTACATTCCAATGTTCTTGTGAGCATAAATGTAACAAAATCTGTAAGTACACTAAAGTACCTGCATTGAGGAGGAAATCTGGTCTTCTTAGTTGAGAGAGTACATACAGAAGGTTTGCATCTGCTAAGTAGAAGTAGATTGCTGGATGTAAAGCACTAAAACTGGGACCACCTTGAACAATGGAGTGGCTCAATAATTCCAGCAGGCTGAAACAGTAGGCCTTTGGAGCAGGATGTCTTTACCATGAAAACAACCATTCGGATTGTTTTCATGGTAAAGCACTTGTACTTAAATGAATTAATTCAAATCATTATTACGTACTAGATGTGGTACTGGTAGTCAGTGATGAAAAAGCTGAAAACAAGAAAGTAAAACAATAATCATTTGCAAAACAGAATTAACAGAGAAGCCTTGTATACTTTTGTATGTGTTATGGTGTATAGTCTGGTTCAAACAGGCCTTCAAACCAACACAATTCTCTTCAAATGAGTGAAAAAGGAAGAAAAGGAACAACAGTTGCTGACAAGGGCAGTTCACTTACAAGTTCCTCAAGTATAGTTCCTCTGATTTGAAATATACATGCATCGTCTATCACCTTTTTGATTAGAACAGGAAAGGTATATCTAAATATTTTCAAATTGCAATGTTTTTGAAAACATGTGCATATATTTGTAATGTGTAAGAATGCTAGACTTTTTATGGACTCTAGGTTCTCCTACTTATGCCCACTTTTATAAACATCACATTATATAAAAATGGCATGGGCAAAGTCAAATTAAAATTTCTGTCTAAAGAACATATCAGTTTTTTGCAGCATTATTGTCTAAATTTTATATTTTCACCTTTATCAAATCCATCCAAAATTTCAGCATCAAGGTAACACCTACTTGTGTAGGCAGATGTCAAGCTTGTTGTTCAGCTCCAAACCTTATTTGACTTCCCACACAACCAATAACGTTAGAGGTAATGAAATGCCATATAGTGGCATTGGTTATCACTGGGTTGATACCAGTAACCTTAGTGTGCCGAGCTAAGCAAGGCACATTTAAAGCTACAGCTTCTCCACAGCTTCATTGAGAGGGCTTTATTCGATTATTGACAAAGGGAGCCACCTGAAAACAATACCTACAATATCAAGAAAAAAAACTGCACACACTATATATATATATATGCATGTGTGTAGCTTCTAGTAACAACTGATCATAACACTATTATCAATACTTACATTTTGAACATTGAAAGCAGTAATTGATGCAAAGGAATTCATCAACGCTTTGTTGGTGTCACTGCAAACTTCCTTTGGCAACTGAACAGATGTTGCAGTGACATGGGATGCTCCCACATAACTTGGCAGTACAACTTTTTAAATTTTTTCCTCTAGAAGGATGAAGAGCTTTGGCAACCCTACCTTCTCAAGAATCTGCATTTAATTGAAGAGACAGCATCATAAGTGAGACATAATTAAATTACAGTCATGATTTAAATGGGATTAATGCAAGATTTTGTTCTGACTTGTTATTTTTCAGTTATTTTTATTTACATAACTTCCCATCCATGCACTTATTAATTTTGCTCTCTTTCAGATGGATTAATCCAATCACTAAATATCAGAGCTGAAGTGTCGGGATGTAGAACCAATGGCTTCCATCCCAATGCAACCAACTTTCTTTGTTACCCAGTTTATATTTGTATACTCACCATTTTGAATGCAAAAACCAGGAGGGAGTAGGACACCAAGGCCCTCTGATCTTTGACTAGCTCTTGATCATTTGCCATCTCCACCGGACGGTCCATAAAATTCACAATAATCCCAGCCAAATGGAATGGGTGTCTTGCAGACAGCATCCATTATTGCCTTGAAAGTCATTCCTTGACAAACAATTATTCAATTGAGATTAATGAAAAGTACTCCTCTTATAAATTCTTACAGTCTAGTATGGTAAACATGGCAAACTATCTAATGTAATGTCATCATTCACTCAAATGGCACTGCATGCATATACATAACCATGGAACTTGTAATTTTGGTCTGTGGTTTAGTTTGGTCAGCAATATTTTTTTTATGAAATCACATACTGCATATTAGCCAGTGTGCAAAGAAAGTCATGTCTGATAACCCAGGGCTAGTGGATTTTGCAATCGGGCTAGTAAATTTTCATAGATTTAAATTACAGAAGTACTATAAGACAAGTGTTTTAAATTCCTAATAAAATTCATGCGGACTGAAAGTCGCTCCAACAAAGTGAAATCTGCATTAACAAGACAAAGTATCACATTACATGTCAGATGAGACATATTGAGATCCCATGCATAAAGTAAAAGCAGATATTGAAAAAAGTTTCGGAGGTAAATGTTGCCTGTGACTAATTCTTACTAATTCAGAGAAAGCTATTTGTCTAAATTTTGCTTCATAATCATTTGTGAGGAATGTAAACAAAAGGTTTTGATCCTAAACTCCAGTGAGAAATTTATAATTTATGGTTTTAGTGTGTTCCAAACACTTCTAAACACCAATACTGTAAGTGTTTTTTGGTTAAACTATATAGACCACATTGTACTGTTTTCACTTTTCACAAAAATCTTTCAGATGAAAAGTTGCCAGAAATGAAACAAACATTTTGTTCTTTTGAAACCTAAAACCTTTGGTTACTTGTAACAAGATGAACCATGTTGTTGATGTTGTTTTTAAGTGTGTCCATCGAGAACTTTGGTTTCACCATTTCAATGCCATTTTTTTTTCTTAAAAAACGTGTTTCTAAATTCTAAAATGTCTAAAATGCATGTTAATCATTTATGTGTTGCCGTGGACCTAGCAAAAATTCTAGAGTGTGGCAGCACTAAGAGCAAAGCAGCTCTTTTTTTTCTGCTTGCAAAAAAATTTTTGCAGGCTAATAAAAATGACTTTCAGCTTTCCCAAAGGGCAAGCTGTAAAACTGAATTTCTTTGCACCCTGTTAGCACTCAATAACTCATCCATGCTGACTATAAAACAGTAATCTGAGACTTCTCCTTTGCCTGCTCATTGATAAAACTTTCCCAAGGGGACCTATGCAGTATTAAATAAAAAATAGGGCACCACATACCTTGTACAATATCTGTTTTGCCAACAACTGAAAGAGTAGCTTTTAGTGCCGTTGTTTTGGCAGACTGTGGGGCTCCAAATAAGACAAGTAGAGTATTAGCCAGCAGATTTTTTCAGCCAAAATAAAATTCTGTAGAGCTTCCCGGTCATCAATGGCTACAACATCACAAGAATAAGAACACATGCAATTATTTTGTTGCAGTTACTATTTTAAGTACAAGTTTATGTTATGTTAAGATTCCTTGTACAAAGAACCAAAAGGTGTACATCGCTTTTAATTATTTGACTACTCATGTGTGGTATATATATATATATATATATATGACAGGAACTACTCATCTGTGCTACATATTATATATCACAAGTACACTACATGTGGCAACATTCATATGGATTATTTTATCATGCAAATTGTTTATGAATGCAAGATATCAGAAATTATTCAGAGTAGAGATTTTTCTGGTGGCAGTGGATGCATGGATGTAATATTGTGCAGAGAGAACAACTTATGCCTCTTTTTACTAAACATGTAACTTTGCATAGATTACACCTGTAAGTTCTGAGAAATATACCTATTATTCCGGTCAAAACACTCTCGGTATCATCAATGTGGATTGTTTTGTTAAGGACCCACACATCTGTGGCTTGCTTTACAATAACATTCCAAAAGATAAACTGGTGTATAAAAATGTCAACAGTCATAGTAACTTCTTTACATTTTATCCAATTGAAGAAATTAAGAATAAAAATCAAACTGGGTTGACTAGCTGAGGAAAGTTGCGATTCTTTTTCTAGTTTCTAAGCTGATTTCATACCTTGATAATGATCAGGAAAAGCGTCCGCACGTGACGAGCATCAGCACCCCAAAGATTGCTACTGAATTGAATGAATGAATGAATATCTCAATAGACAGGCAATACAAACTACTAAAACTGGTATCATTTTTCGCCGCTCCTCGCGTATTTCTTTGCATGTAAGCCTTATACAATCCAAACAAGTATCGGGGGAGGGAAGGGTCCTTTAATTGCTGGATCCATACTGCATCGCTTTTGAATGCACTGATCACGGCTTGATTACTACTCATATCTTTGTTACTGAGAGAGTACTCTTCGATTCTACTAATCGGGAAAGAAAAATAGTTCGAAACGTGAGTGGTCAGCGGTGAAACAACTTTAATACTTCATATAGAAACAGATCATTTGTAGTTACAGAAGACAATCGTGTTGAAGGGCCGAACTGTCACGAAGTCATACCTCGCTAATTTAAAAGTTAAGCAATTTTCCAAAAGCTTTGACTGTAACAATTTTTTAAATACTTGGGAATGGTCTCGGGAAACGCATCGGTGATTCAAATATTTTTAATCAAGACCACTCGTTCAAGAGACCTTACCTTGCCTCTGCCTTTCAAATTATATTTTTTTCCTTTATTTAAGAAATGCACTAGGGATGCCACCGATGCCTTTCCAGATGCCTCCATTGTTTATTACAGCTGTAAAAAATAAATGTACATTCAACACTTAAAAAATTTCTTAACTTTTTATTTAGCGAAGTATACTGTTAACATTTTGGGATTGATAACACGAATATTTACTCGGAACTACAAATGATTTGTTTAAAACTATTTCACAGCTGACCACTCGTAATGCGGACTTTTTTTCTTCCCCGGCTCGTCGCCCGTGATGTAGTAACTTGTCCAAAAGGACGTCTCAATACTAACACCTCCCATAATAATACTAACTATTATACAATTCATGTATGGCTCACAATATGTCCCATTTGGCATTGTTCTTCGACGTTAACCCCAAGGTACCCTTGGTTTGCCATGTTCTACCACATCAACCGGCACCTACCCTTAGTTAACCATGTTTTATCATATTAACCCACATCTCCCATAAGTTAATAATGTTCTTCCACGTTTACCTACATCTACCCTGAGTTAAAAATGTTATACCACGTAACCCCCATCAACCCTTAGTTAACATTGTTATACCACATTAATCCCTATCTACCCTAAACCATGTTCTACCACTTTTAGCCCCATTTACCCTAAGTTAACAATGTTCTACCATATTAAACCCCATCGACCCTAAGTTAACCACGTTCTACTACACTTACCCCAATCTACCCTTAGTAAACCATGTTCTACTATGTTAACCCACATCTACCTGGACTGTTGGATAATTGACACAAAAAGCCGGGAAACCATCGATCGTATAATCAACAAGTTTATTTGAAGGAATTATTCGATCTGAAACATACAATTAAGCAATGTAATTATGAAACATTTGAATATTTACAACACCGATTATAAAAGTGGATAATAAACCGACAGTACAAGCTAAACTAATTGAAACTTACTTCTGTCGCCGGTTTCCCGTTAAATTGATCATTCGGTGTAACTTCTATAAAACTGGTTAGCAAACACGTGTAAGAACTGAACTGAACTGAAAGCTAATGAACTTGATATATGAAACGATTAAAAGTGTCAATTACATTGTTTGTGATCATTGTCAATCATTAATAATATTTTGCCACCGTAACACTACCCTAAGTAAATCATGTTTTACCATATTAACCCACATTTTCCCTTAGCTAAGCATATTATAACACATTGATCCCATCTACCATTAGTTAACCATGTTCTACCACGTTTATCACCTTTATCGTAGGTAGAACATGTTCTAACACTTTCATCCACACCTAACCATGTTTTATCACGTTAACCCCTATCTATCCTGAGTTAACCAAGGTCTACCGCGTTAACCTCCATTTACCCCGAGTTAGCCACGTTTTGTTACTTTGATCAACTTCTATCCTAAGTTAGGCATGGTCTACCACGTTCACACATCTATTCCAAGGTAGAAGTGAGGGGTGAACTCTTTACTATCATTCGTTATCATGGGTGTACGGACGTTTAGGTATCCTGTTAAAAACACTGCTTACAGCAAAGTTTAATCATGTTCAAATGTTGTTGAATAAAAATCGTTTTATAAGGGCTGGTTATTAAAATTTTCTGTTGAAGCTTTAGTTTCAGGCTTCTTTCTCCAATTCTTAAATTTCAAACAAGTTTAATTGGTGCGAATGGAGAATTATAAAGATTGTAACGGAAGTGAACGTACGCCGCTATTTAACTAATCAATGATGAATACAATATCTAAATAAACCCAATAAACCGTCTAAATCTGCTTATAAAAGCGTGGAGGGTTGATTTGTTGTATGGGAACTAGTACCTCTTCCAAAAGCAAATGAAACTATGTATTCTATATCACCTTTACAGAGACCGTAAAGTAAAATAAATAGAACTGTGCACCAATCAGGTTGGTCTAAAGCGAGATGGGCGCATCCTAAATCTCTCCATTTTTCCATGTGAGCCAACTTGACAGCTATCTGGGAAGCTGTTCTCGATGAACGACGAACGAGCCGATGATTTAATGAAATCCCAAATAACCTAAAACTCAGGGCCGTAGCTAGCATGAGGCAAGACGAGGCAATTGCCTCGTCTTGATTTTGGCCCAAGATTGACTTTTCTGAAGAAAAATGACATGGGAAATGCTTAAAAGAGCATTTCTGAGCCTCTAGATTTCAACATTTTCTTGGGGGCGGGAGGGGGGGGGGGGAATGCCCCCAGATCCCCCTAGCGGCTCGCGCCTTCGGCGCTCGAAACTTGCCTCGTCTTGTTCTGAGGTCTGGCTACGGCCCTGAAACTAATGAAACTCGTAGCAGATAATTACTTTTAAGAATTTCTAAAGTACTTGACGATAACTGAGCAATCTTACCGTGACAAGGGAGATGCAACGGACTGTTAGAGGGTGAAGACCATAGGAATAAGTCTAAAGGAATTGCATGGATGAAGTAGATATGAGTGAACGCGGTAGAACTGGTTAATTAAGGGTAGATGTGGGTAAACGTGGTGGAACATGGCTAACTTAGTGTAGATGTGGGTTAACGAGGTAGGACATGGTTAACTTAGGGGAGATGTGAGTTAACGGGGTGAAACATGCCTTGCTTAGGGTACAAGTGGATTAATGTGGTAGAACATGGTTATGTAAGGGAAGATGTGGATTAACGTGGTAGAACATGGTTATATAAGGTAAGATGTGCGTTAATGTGGCAGAACATGGTTAACTTAGGGAAGACGTGGGTTAATGGGGTAAAACATGCCTAACTTAGGGTAGAAGTTGGTTTATGTATAGAACATGATTGACTTAGGGTAAATGTGGGTTAACGTGGTAAAACTTGGGCCAAACTTACCCTATTTAAGCCTGTACTGGCACTAATCACGCGCGTCATTTCATTGGTTCACGGTACAATTTGAGGTAGTTGGAAACAAAGGTTTTAAAGCCACTCTTGAAAAAAAAAAGATGGGTAGAAAGTCTCGAGTGAATGGAACAATTTGTTATATAATTTGCGGAAAAATCACGCAATTTTTTACGACACCGACTTGCGAAATGTTCCTTGAGTCGTCGTTTTAAAGGTAATAATTTGCATCCACAAGTAACAGGTGTTGTGCACACTTTCCCCTCGATGAATTTTTTTTGTTTTTCCAATTAAAAGGGTATAAATTGTACACCAAAATTATGTCAAAGACCAAAGAAAATTAAAAAAAAAGAAGCCATTATCGTAAAAACCATCTTACATCTTTACTTGGTCCATTTATTGAAAAACAAGACCGTGTTCTCGGAATGCGCGAGGCCTTATTCGCCTGACTACGGGATTTTTATGCAAAGTACAGAACGCTTAGTGCAACACTGAGGAATCACCTTAAAGTATTATGTGACAGAGAATTCCTCGGGTGGGAATGCACTATGGTTTGTTCGACGCGTGGTCGTCATTTCTTTAAAGATCCACTTTAGGAAAATACACAAAGAGCCATGTTTGAGCAATTTTCAACTAGACAAGTTGCGATTTCGTTTTGGTTTGCTGATTGGTTGAGAGAGTCGCGCAAGTTTCTGGATCAGTCATTGAGCGTAGGAAGAAAACCATCCGTCTTTTTGGCTCAATATTAAATGGATACCTCAGAGGAAGATTATCAACACTGAATCTGTATAAAATATCAGAATTATCACCAGATACAACGCTGTCACTTATTACATTCGATTGAGTAAATACATACGGTAAATTAGCTAAACCAAAATCAGGTTCCACACTTCTTGGACAAAAATACACTGGACCTTACAATCCACTAGACAAACAATTGAAATATGACAAAAACACTGATCAAATACTTGAGATTCATGACAAAACAATTGAAAAATAGATGCTATTTCAATGCAACATGATGTTGACTATTCTATAAGCAAAGATGATAACAAGTGTAAAAAAAAGCGGATCCAATGATGGTTAAAGCTCTCGATGTTGTTCCTTATAATGAAAGACAGTGGGGGCATTTCTTGGCCCCAAAAGTATGATAAACACAAAACAGAAGCATACAGTTAATAAAACTGTTGTTGAAGCAAGATGTTAAACCAGCAAGGTCAGTACCCAAACCAAGGATAAGAACAATTCCAACACCACGAAAAAGTGTTAAATAGATGGTCCAAGAATATGAAGACAATATCATTCCTCCACCACTTGAACTTAGAGATGGGTGAAAACCCACTCCAACACTCAGAAGAAAAAAGATGATTGTGCCAGTTGCAGCTTCAAGGACAAAAGTAGAAGAGAAAAGTAAAGCTCTCAAAGAATATACC